ATAAGAACGCAGACAGTGCATCTATGGTAACGAGGGACCGCAGAGTATATGGAGACAGATGTAGGTAGGTGGCGGAAGCATGTGGAAATTCTCTTCAGATTGCTTCTATTTTCTCCATGAAGTTGGAAGCAAGACATCAGCAGAAGGAGGAGAAAGGAGGAGGGGTTGGACGTTGGAGGAGAGAGGGGGAGGTAAAAATAGCTATCGGGAAGGGTGGGAGGGTGCACAGAACTGAGGAAAGGCAGGAGCGTGGGTGGTCAACACAAAGGGTGCTTTTGAGAGGATGAAATTTAAGTGAGACTAGTCAGCCTGGAGTTGCGTTTTTCCAGCCACGTGCAGCTGCTTAGGTGCAGGCTGGAGAAGGCACTGTGACGGGGTTTTACCAGATTAATATGATGGAAGAGAGGGGCCAGGGACTAATTATAATGACAGATCATGGAATCAAAGCTGGATAATGAGAGAAGGGTGTATGTGATGGGGCTAGGGGACACTGAAAAGGAGATACGATCAATAGACGAGAGACAGGGCCAATTTATCCATAGGAGGCACGGTGCCAAAGGCCCACAATACTTTTAGAACCCCACAAAATGACTTAATTTATTTTAAAATCAGAAGAAAAAAATGAGTATAATAAAAATGAATATATAATAATGAATCTAGCTTGGATTATATTTGTCTTTTACCAATGCAGGCATAATCTTTTTTTTTCCTGAGGAAAATTTGCCCTGGGGTAATATCCGTGCCAAACATCGTCTATTTTTTAGTATGAGGGCTGCCAGCATACCACGGCCACTAACAGAGTGGTGTATGTCCACGCCTGGGAACTGAACCTGGGCCGCCGAAAAGGAGTGCACTGAACTCAATCACTAGACCACGGGGGCTGGCCCCATAAAATATAATTTTTATTATTCTTTTGTGGAGGAAGGCCCCCATGAGGTTCACTGAAGTGCTGAGTGTCCACAAAAGTTGTAATGTAGCACTTACGAGTGATCCCAGTGGATCCAAATTCAAGATTTGTTGAATGTATTTGTAATGGCAAAAAGTAAATACAACCTAAGTATCCAGAATTGTTTGAGTCCGGGTACTAGAGGGGATGGGATGAAAAGATATGAGTCAGTAATAGGAAAGTGTGATACTCAAAATTGAGAATATGGAGTGTGTGAAGTATTGGTAATAACAAGGTTTGGGTGGAACCATCCTTCTCATTGATGGAGAAGAAATTAAGGAAATGAGAAGCTGGTTTTATCAGCTATCTATTGTCATATTAACAAACCACCCCAAAACTTAGTGGCTTAAAACAGCCACTATTTATGTGCCCATAGTTTGGTAATATGAGCTGGGCTCTGCTGAGTTCTTCCGTTGGTCTTGCCTAGGCTCACTCACATGGCTGCAGTCATCTAGAAGCTTGACTGGGGCTGGTAACATGACCTCCTGTGTCTGGTGGTTGTTGGGCAGGGTACTGCAGTTCTCCTCCATGGGGCTTCTCATCTTCCAATGGGCTAGCCTGGACTTCTTTATACGAAACTGGAAGTGTTCTAAGAGGGCAAAGGGGCAAGCTATGAGGTCTCTTGAGACCTAGACTTTGGGGACTCACACAATGCCATTTCTGTCACATTCTATTAGTCAAAGCAACTCATAAATTCAGCCCAGATTCAGGAGGCTGAGAAACAGACTCCACCTTTTGCTGGAAGAAGTAGCAAAATCATTGCAAAGGGTCCTGTGGGACAGGAGGAACGGCAGTGGCCATCTTTGCAAACAAACCATCACATTTATTGGAATGGTTGTCTATGTGGTACTGCATCATTAAGAATCACCAAGAATTTGACAGAAGTGGGAGTGAAGAAAGTGACAACAAGCCAGGTGCCAAAATCTTGAAAGCATGAGTGAGTGGTAAGTGATATAGTCTGATGCCAGCAACCTCCAAAACTTCAAATATCTTTATTGTTTCATCAGTGAATGTCAGTGAACTTCATTAATGAAAAGGAACTGTTCATTTTCACAACTTCTATGACTCAGCCACTCATCAATTCAGACTCTATCTTAAGGAAGGAATCTAAAACCATGGGAAGAAACTATATGCATGAAAATTTGCGGCACTACTATTTGTCTGGGAGCTGTGTCCCCAGTGCCTAGGATGATGTCTGGCGCGTAGTAGTAGCACATGGGAGCTCAGTAAATATTTGTTGAATGAATTTATAATGGCAAAAAAGTAAAGACAACTTCATAAGTACCCAATAATGAGGTTAAATAAATTATGATATATCTATTTAATGGAATATCATGCAGCCATAAAAAATTATGCTTTTGAGGACTATCAATACATGATGTGGAGTAAAAATAAAAAAGCACGATATATTACAGGTACATGTCAAAAAAAAAAAAGCAGGATAAAAAAAAAAAGGGGGCCAGCCTAGTGGCCAAGTGGTTAAGTTTGCACCCCCTGCTTTGGCGGCCCAGAGTTTCGCCGGTTCAGATCCTGGGCACAGACATGGCACTGCTCATCAGGCCATGCTGAGGTGACGTCTCAAATGCCACAAGTGGAAGGACCCACAACTAAAAATATACAACTGCGTACCGGGGGGCTTTGAGGAGAAAAAGGAAAAATAAAATCTTTAAAAAAAAAGCAGGATAAACATTACAGGTATGTGTCAAAAAAAAGCAGGATACAACATTACAGGTACTGTGTAAAAACATCTGGGTAGCAAAAGGAATCAAACAACAAGAGCGGTTTTATCAAGCTGGTGGGATCGGAGGTGATTTTTTTCTTTATTCCAAAAGTTCTTTAATGTTGTTGAATTTCTTTTTATAATAACAAAGGTTGTACATGTTCATTGTGGAAAAGGGGGAAATGCTGAAAAGCAATAAGAGAAAAATAACCTATAATTCCATCATCCAGAAAAAAAAAATCACTGCTGTCCTTCAGATAGGTTCTGCTTTGTTTCCTGCTCCCCCCCCCCCCGACTTAACATATTCTTAGCTTTTTTGACATCTTTAGACTTCACAAAGGTGACTTTTAATAGTGACATAGTGTTGACATATCATAATTTATTTGGCCTACAGCAATTTTGCACATTATAGGCTGTTCCCATTTTTTCACTCAAAAAACATTTTAACAAAATAGTGGTTAGAGCCCTGGCGTCACTCAAATTCAGAAAGCGCATAAGGAAAGAGGTGATCAATTTCTGGGAAGGTGGCTAGAGAGATGGGGTGGGCGTGGCTAAGTCCAATGGAGATTGCGAGAGAACTCAGTCCAGGGGCTCCGTCCCTCTGCGAGGGAGGGCTGCTGTCTGTAGGAAGCTGCTCTGCACGGGCTAGGGACGCCTCCTTCCAAAGTTTTGAACTTAAAGATGGTGAAATCTTGATCTGAAGGATTAGAGATGGGCAGTGACGTTCCTGACCTTTGCCCTCTTGCGTTGTGCAAACGAGAAACCGTTTCCCGTTCTTGCCTTGCCCAGGTGTCTCTGAGCCATTAGCCTGGAGGGGTAGTCCTCCCCCATACCCCCCACAGAACTCTCAGCCTGAGCTCTGGGTTTGGGCAGTTGACGATTAGCCTGAAGTCAAGAACGGATGTGATCCGGGGTACAGAAGTGGGAACTTGGGGGGAACATTTACGAGTCAAGGGCGTCCCCAGTTCAGGGAGGCCTCCCGGTAGCGGTCACGGACAGGAAAGGGGTGGGAAAGACAAACTTGACGGAGGGAGGCATGCGGGGCTAGGAGGGCTGAGATTCGGATAGGCATGGGTCGATCCTGGAAGGCTGTAGATGGTGATGAAGAGAGAAAGAAGCGGAGGGAGCCGAGGAGGAGAGGAGCAGACAGATGAAGCAGGTGTTGTAGGATTTACAAACGGAGGAGGTGTGGGCTGGTGACAGGAGGAGGGCGGGGAGCAGCAATGTGCCCTGAGCGGGCATGAGGTATATATGAGAAGCGTGATGGGAAGCGGACTGGTGAGAGCAGAGGTGGGGCGTGGGGTGAGAGGCGCAGGTCAGGAAAGCGGGGATGCGAGATCGGAGAATAATAGGGCTGCGCACGTTTGGCCGGCACTTTACAGTCTGCTCCCATTTAGGCTCGCATAATCTCCTCCTTTCTTGAAGAAAGCGAGGTTCGGAGAGGTTGGGCGGCAGCAGAGGGTGGGGGCCGAGGGGAGGGCGAGGCCGCGGAGGAAGGGGCGAGCTCCGGGCGAGTTGCGCGCGGTGCGTGGCAGCGGGGCGGGGGGCGGGCCCGCGGCAGCCCGGGGAGCGGAGGGAGGGGGAGGCGGGCTCCGCCGGCACACGCCGCCCCTGGCAGGCGGCCTAAGCGCGCGCGAGGAGCCGCCGCCGCCGCCGCCGCTCGGGGTCGCCTTGAGCCCCAGATTCCCGAGCACTCGGCTCGCATGGCAGCCGCCTCGGCTCCCGGCCCCGCGGCCCGCTAGGGGCGGCCCCCGCCCCAGCTCGGCCCTCGGCGGAGCCCGTCGGATCCGGCCTCGCTCTGCGCCGCGGGGCGCGCCGCCTCCCAGTCCAAGGTGAGGACCGCGAGGGCAGGGGAGCGCAGGGCGAGGGGCGCTCTGGGGACTCCAGGCCCCGCGCAGCGGCCGAGCCGAGCGCGACAGAGATCGGAAGGGGACGTGGGAGCAAGTCCTGGGGGTCGGGGGTGGGGGGCGGAGACGGCTAGCGGCCTGGAACCGGCCCTCGCGTCCCCTCCGTGCTCGAGGCTGCCTCTCGGCGCTGTCCCCATCCCCGCGGACTCCTCCGTCCGACTGCATTCCCAGCCTGGTCCTTCTCGCGCCCTGACCTCGCTCTGCGTTGCCCATCCGTCGCCTTCTTCCCACAGAGTCCGCTCCCAGGTTCCCGTCTCCAATCCCCTCGCCTGCTCAACCCTTCGCCGCCCCTGCCCTCGATACCCCCACCCCACTCTGTCCCGCCGCCCCTTTCCTAGCTCCGCTCCTGTCACTCGGAACCGGAGTCCGAACCGCTATCTCCGCGTCCCGCTGCCTCCCAACCTGTGCCGTCCCACAGGTGTCCGTCCGTCCGTCCATCCGTCCGTCCCTCCTGGGGCCGGCGCTGACCATGCCCAGCGGCTGCCGCTGCCTGCATCTCGTGTGCCTGTTGTGCATCTTAGGGGCACCCGTTCAGCCTGCCCGAGGTGAGCGCGCCCCCAGGGCTCATGTCGAGGCCCTGTCCTGCCGTCCCTCGCTTTCACGTTGACCTCTGCCGGCCAGAGACAGCACTGCAGACGCTCCGACCCGCGCGGTTGGCCGACCCAGGTCGTCTTTGGAATGGAATGAGTGTCTTTTCTGCCCTGCCCTAGAGCTGAACCCACCCAATTACCGGGACCCCGCATCCTCTCCCGCCCCCGCATCTCAGGGAGCGGAACCCTGACCCCGGGCTCACCCCTCCCACATCAATCTCTTGCAGCTGATGACTGCAGCGCCTCCTGTGACCTAGCCCATGGCTGCTGTGCGCCTGACGGCTCCTGCAGGTACCTCTCCTGAGCACGTGCTCCCAAACTTTTTGCTCCCCATTGCCCAGCCCTCCACATCCACAACCAGGTCAAGTCCCGGGACAGACTGTCTAGGCGTGTAGACCCTACTGCTCGCTTGCCATGCCCTCATGGCACACAGGGCAGGCTGGCCATCCTCTCCCCACCCCCGGTTCCCCTGTGCCTGGCTTTTGGCTTGTGTCTCCCACTTTACTCTCACCAGTTTGATCCAGGAATTCTGAAACAATCCTCAAGATACCAGGAGAAAGACCTGAAGCTTGAGAGAGTTTGGAGATAGGAAGCCACGAGGAGAGAGGGAGATAAAGGAAAGATATAAAGAGAGTTAGGTTTAGCCTGGAAACGGAAGGCTGCTAGAGGATTGCTGGGGAGAAACGCTTGTGAAAGAGGGTCCTTCTCTATGAATTTGAGTAATTGACTCACTGTGGTGGGGGTTGGGCAAATTTGGCAGCAAGAGGAAAGGGTGTCTGGACATAAGGAAATGAACTGACAGGGCAAGCTGCTGGTCAGGCTGGGGTGTTTGGGACTCTCTGACATGGGTCAGGCCTTTGCCCTGGAATCAGGGTGGGAAGATAGTCCTGGTGACCTTTCAAGGTCACTCTTCTTTTCAAACGTTTCTGAGCACCTCAGACATGCCAGGAGTGGTACTGGGGGCAATTACAGACATCATCTTATTTAATTTAATACACCCCTACCAGGTGTATCCCCAATTTACAGAGGAGAAAAACTAAGCATCAGAAAGTAAGTGCAGAATGAGGACTTGATGCTTGTGTCTGATGGTCTGATTCCATGTTTCCCATGACCCTGCACAGCCCTACACCCACCTGGTTTCCCTTAGGGCCTGCTTTCCCTTAGGGCTGTCATACGTCCTTCTGTTTTCTAGAGGCTCTGGTCTTGCCTCCTCCATTTCCTTACATCCCCTACCCGAAGCCCTGACCCTGTGCTTCTCCCCATCAGGTGTGACCCAGGCTGGGAGGGGCTGCACTGTGAGCGCTGTGTAAGGATGCCTGGCTGTCAGCATGGTACCTGCCACCAGCCCTGGCAGTGCATCTGTCACAGTGGCTGGGCGGGCAAGTTCTGTGACAAAGGTAGGGGAGTAGAGACAGTTGGCTGTGGGGCTAGGGAGAATGTATGTCTTGGGAAAACATCCATCCATATTTACTGAACAGCTATTGTATCTGGCTCAATCCCTCAATTACATGGTATTTCATCATTTTAGACTATACCTATCTGTTGTCTGAATTGGTCCTCAACATAACTCCATGAGGCAGCTGCTGAAAATTGTACTCATTTTACAGATGAGGAAGCCAAGACTCACAAATGAGATACTTGTCCAAAGTCACTTTGAGACAGACTGACAGTGCCAGGAGCCTCCTGACTCCAAATTCACTGTTGTTGCTTTCTCTGACACCATACCAACCCAGGGTGGGTTTGTAGTACAAGCCATACCCACAGAGCCCTGGGTGGGGCCTGGGCAAGTCGGGGTGCCAGACGTGAGGGGCTATCCCAGAGCCTTCCGGGTCTCCTCTCCAGATGAGCACATCTGTACCACGCAGTCCCCCTGCCGGAACGGAGGCCAGTGCGTATATGACGGGGGCGGCGAGTACCACTGTGTGTGCCCACTAGGCTTCCATGGGCGTGACTGTGAGCACAAAGCTGGACCATGTGAGCAAGCAGGGTGAGTGCTGGCCCGGTGGGATGAGTGGGCGGTCAGACAGAATCTGGCGACCGGAAGATGGAGGAGGCAGGACTGTTGAGAGGGTGGTGGCGAAGTCTTAGGGCTGAGGGTCAGAAGCCCAACATGCGGACACCTGAAGATAAAACCCCAGCCTGCCAAAGTGTCCATAGTTCAGGGTTTCTCAATGTTTTTGTACCACCTGAACCATTTCTTCAACAAAATATCTATACGAGCTGGAGGTAATAACAGATCCATGTGTGACAGCTCTGACTGGGGACAGTGGGTGTGGGGAGGTAGAGGCCGCCCTAGGACTCCCCTCAGCCTCCCAAGAAGGCTGGGATGCAGCCCCTAAGGAGGTTCCACATGGCAGCCTTACACCTCATTCTCAATGAGGAAACGGGCCTGCAGGACTGGACTTGTCCTCATCTGCCTCAGGCCTGAGAGCCCGCGAGGATGGCAAGAGTACACTGACCTTGAGCCCTGCCTTTGGGCCAGGCCCTGTGCTGACTGCCTGACATTGGGTTATCTCATTTAACCCTTACAATTTGGGAAGCTGGGTACTATTCTTATTTTTGTTTTTAAAATGAGGCATTCGAGGTGCAGAGTGGCTCAAGATGACGTAGCTAGGAGGAGGGGGGCAATGGTCAGGATGCTGACCTGCGCTACCCTGTAGGTGTCAGTCAGTATCAATGCCGTCTCCCACCCCCGCCCCAGCTCCCCGTGCCGGAATGGCGGGCAGTGCCAGGACGACAATGGCTATGCCCTCAACTTCACGTGCCGCTGCTTGGCGGGCTTTGTGGGTGCCCGCTGTGAGGTGAATGTGGACGACTGTCTGATGCGGCCCTGTGCGAACGGCGCCACCTGCCTGGACGGCATAAACCGCTTTTCCTGCCTCTGCCCTGAGGGCTTTGCTGGACGCTTCTGCACCATCAACCTGGATGACTGTGCCAGCCGCCCCTGCCAGAGAGGGGCCCGCTGTCGGGACCGTGTCCATGACTTTGACTGTCTCTGCCCCAGTGGCTATGGCGGCAAGACTTGTGAGCTAGTGTTACCTGTCCCGGACCCCACCACTACAGCAGACAGCCCCCTGGGGCCCACCTCGGCTGTGGTGGTACCTGCCACAGGGCCTGTCCCCCACAGCGTGGGGGCTGGTCTGCTGCGCATCTCAGTGAAAGAGGTGGTACGGAGGCAGGAGGTTGGGCTAGGTGAGTCTAGCCTGGTGGCCGTGGTGGTGTTTGGAGCCCTCACTGCTGCCCTAGTCCTGTCCACAGTGTTGCTGACCCTGAGGGCCTGGCGCCGGGGTATCTGCCCCCCTGGACCCTGTTGCTATCCACCCCCACACTATGCCCCAGCCCGCCAGGACCAGGAGTGTCAGGTCAGCATGCTGCCAGCAGGGCTCCCCCTGCCGCCTGACCTGTCTCCTGAGCCTGGAAAGACCACAGCACTGTGATGGGAGGTGAGGCTTTCCGGCGCCCTCCTTCACCTCCTCCACCCCTCAGACTGGAGTGGTCCTTTCTTGCCACCCCTCAGCTAGGGTACACACACTGAGGGACCTCAGCCTCACATCAGAAATATTATTTTTTTAATACAAGAATGTAAGATGGGAATTTTATCAAATAAAACTATGAAAGTACAAGTTGGCTCCTTTGCCAGAAAAACCTGCCTGGAGTCGCAGATGCAAGAGGGCCAGAGCAGAGGCCTGGTTCTGGGGGAGCCTTGGGACTCTGTCCCCGTTTCCAAAGAGGAACCCAGGACACTCTTTTCCCCTCTGGGGAATGAGGGAGAGGTAGAGCCACAGAGGAGATGTAAACGAGCAGCCAGCCTCTTGCACCTGCCTGGCAGAGGGTGGGGAGAGGGTGGGCACTGGGCTCGGGGCCTTCAGGGAGAGGAGCGGGCTCCCTGCTGGCTGCTCTGCAGCAGCTGCTGGAACAGCGAGTGGGGCTGGCTGCACAGGGTGGCAGGGGAGTCCAGCTCCACGACCCTCCCTGCTTGTAGCACCAGCACCCGGTCCGAGTTCAGGATCGTGTTGAGCCTGTGTGGGATACGGTCGTCAGTGGAGGGATGAGGGACAAAACCCTAAAGAAGAAAAGTGACCCCTGTCCCCTCCTCTCCTCTCCTGGACAGCACAGGTCTGCCCCACAGGCTTTACCTCCTGGCTCTGTGCTAGGGGAGGGGGAGCAGATTCCCTCAGACAATGTGCTATAAAGGCCCTGGAGAATGAAGAGCTGAGATTCATGGGGGGTTGGAGTCTCTAGCGCCCTGACCCCTGGGTCCCTGAGGCGATAACCTCAGGTTAGATTCTCACTCTGGACGCTTGCACACCTGTGGGCGATGGTCAGCACTGTCTTATTGGCGAAGCGTTTGCAGATAGTCTGCTGGAGCAGTTGATCTGTCTTCTGGTCCACGCTTGCTGTGGCCTCATCAATGCACAGGATCTGGAACATGTGGAGGGAGTGGTGGGGAGGAGGGAGAAGAGGGTTAGCCTTGGCTCCTACCCAACCACTAGCCCCCACTCCTGGCCAGGCCAGCCCAGCCTGGCCTAGTCTACAGCTCCCGACCTCCAGCTCTAAAAGGAAACTAACTTGGTGCCCTGAGTCCTCTCCCCAACCCACTTCCTCACCCCAGACATGTCCCCTGCCTTCTTCCTGGCCCTCTTGAATGTTTCCTTCTCTTGCCTTACCTTGGCATCTGTGAGGAGAGCCCTGGCCAGACACAGCAGCTGCCTCTGCCCCAGGGATAAGCTCCGGCCCCCCTCACCCAGCTCACCATCCAGACCACCTGCAAGGCACAGCATTTTCACCCTCAGGTCCCGGGCCTCTCCCTGCTTCCTCCCTGCTCCCTCCTTCTGCTGCCCTGCAGGGTAGGCCTGGTACTCACCCAGGGATAGGATCACCTCCCTCAGATGGCACTGCTCCAGGGCCTGCCACAGGGCCCTATCCTCATGCAAGCCCTGGGGGTCCAGGTTTTCCCGCACAGTCCCACTGAACAAAAAGGGCTCCTGGGGGATGATAGCCAGCTGAGATCTGGGGGACAAGGAGAGGACAGGACATGGGGTCTAGGCTGAAGATATAGCCACTTCTGCTCCAGCACAGGTTTTAGCTGTAGGTCTAGCACTTCCAGGAAGCTTGGGGATAAGACCTGAACATAAGCCCCACTATTCCCCTGGTCAGCTGGGTACCAAGAACTGTGCAGTGCTATGAAGAATACAAAGAAACCAAAGGCCCAGACTTAGTCCTTAAGGAGTTTACATCTCACCAAGGTGCAAAAAACAGAGAACAAGAGTGGACTAAACTGTGTGGTCCTGACTCCAGCAGTCACTGGGACAGGAGTGACAGGCAAGGAGTGACCAGAGACGAATGGGGAAGGGATGCTTCGAGGTTGGAGGTGGGCCTGGAATTGGGTCCTGGAAGCTGTATGGTGGAGCTGAGGTAAGGCCACCACAGGCTAGAAGAGAGGCAGGTAGGGTAGGGGCAGGGCCTGGGATCAGCAATGGCCTTTAGGCCAGAGTTTCTCTACCTTTCCCATGTCATGGAACTCAGTGAAAACCATACTAGGTTAACCTGGGGGTGGGGGTGGGGAGATATTAGCCCCAGATGAGGCCACTGTGGCCAGGGGCCACTGGCCCAGGTCTTGAGCTGTCCCAAGCACCACCTGCCGAGCCTGAGAGCTGAGGGGATCAGTGTCCGGCACAGCACCTGGGAGGTGACTCAGGAGGCAGTGACTAGTGGTCTAGAGTGGAGGGTGTATGCTGGGAAGTACAAGAAAGATGAAGCTGAAAGGTGGGCCTGGGTCACACTGAAGACTGTGTGAATCTGGGGCTGGGCACTAGGAGCTCGCTCTCCTCGCCTGCTCATCCTATCCACCACCTCGCCCCCTGGTCCGCCCTGGCTGCCCTAAATTTATATACAGCCTTCCTGGCTGGGCCTTCCTAAGTGCTAGTAGTCTGGTTCCCCTCTTCTCCCACCAGACCTGAGCTCAGCCAGCTCCAGCTGGCTGGTGTCCACACCATCCAGCAGCACTCGCCCGGAACTGGGCTCCAGCAGCCGGAAGAGCACCAACAATAGGGAGGACTTGCCGGAGCCGGTGCGGCCCACGATGCCCAGCTTCTCTCCAGGCTGCACGCGGAAGGTCACCCCATCCAGGGCATTGGGCAGCCCTGGCCGGTAGACCAACACCACATCCTGGAACTCCACGCTCCCCTGGGTCAGCCAGCCGATGCCCAGCTAGTGGTGGGAGATGGAGGGAGATGAGTGAGATGGGGAGGAATGAGGAGGAGAAGGGAGGTTGGAGAGTAGAAGGAGGAGAGAATGAGAAGCAGACAGCATGAGAGGAGAGGGGGAATGGGGGCAAGTGCAGGAGAGATGGGGAGAAGGGACACAAAGACAAGAGGCACCATGAAGAACAGGGACATCACGCAGGGACATTAGAGTTGCTGAGAGAGATGGTGAGGAGTGAAAGGAAAGGAACTGAGGCCATCAGGAGGGTCCCTCAGGGTTCCAGCGCCCAGGCTTGAGGCAGGGGTGCAGGCCTACCTGCAGCAGCCGGTCCCGGGGCTCCTGGGGCAGGTCACAGGAGTACTCCTCCAGCCGCTCGACGCTCACCAGCATGGCTTCCGTCTGCGTGAAGCCGCTCACCAGGCCCGAAAGCAGGCCCGTCAGGGACAGGGCATAAGACAGTGACAGGCCCACCAGTCCTGGGGGAGAGAAGCACCAGCTGCTAGGGGATGCCTGGACACTGGGAGGCATGCAGGGAGGGGTGAGGCAGAACGGGGGAATCCCAACCTGTGAACGGTGGGCATTTAAAGGAAGCCAGCAGAGAACCAAGAAGATGCCAGGACCCAGACCAGGGCCATAGGAGACTAGATGCAAGGGAGTGGAATGGGCCTGTGGTGAGGTTGTGAGGTGACAGGTGGAGGACAGGTGGGCCAGGCAGAGTGCTGGGGATGGAGTGGGGCAGGGCAGGGACAAGGAGCAGAAGGTCAGAAGACTCCTTCTAGTCCCAGATCCACCACCACCTGGGCGAGTCACTCCTTGAGACTCAGCTTCCTCAACTCTAAAATGGGGGTGATGAGAATTACAACATATCCTCACAGGGTACTCTGGGTGGCAGGAAGAAATGTTGGGGGGATGGTGGAGGGAAAGCTAGGGGACAAGGGGTAGGAATAACATGCTTCTGAGGTGAGAATGAAGGGTCCCAGGGTGGCACCTGGGTCAGCGAGGCCCTGCTGATGCTGCACCAGGGCGATGCCTGCAATGGCGCTGACCACTGCAGCCCCCATGAGCTGTAGCCGAATGTCCAGCCACTGCATTGTGGCACTGGCAGCAAACTGGCACCTCTGGTTTAGCTCCAGGAGTCTCTGGTTCTCCTCCTCAAACCTGGGGGAGGCCAGGAAGGAAGCAAGGAGGCTCCACTGTTGCACTGACCCGCCCAGACTCCTTCCCAGCAGAAAGCCTCCTTCTTGGAGCTGATCTGCATACCCATAGGCCTCACCTCAGGAGTAGAGAGAGGCCAGTGTGCTCTTTTGTAGGGGGGTTGCTTTGCTTCATGGTCCCTTTTTTGTTTCTTTCTCTTTCTCCTAATGCCTCACCCATCCTTCCCTTTTCAGGAGAACTGAAGCTCCTCTCTCCAGCCCTTCTCAGGGGCCCCTCTCTCCCCTCCCCCAGCCCTCATCCCACTGGCTCTGGTTGGGAAAGGCAGACTTCACACACCTGTAGGTGGCCCCAGTGGCTCGGAGAACGGGGAGGCCAGCCAAGGTGTCAGCCAGGTGGGTGTAGAGTGGAGACAGGGTGAGGCTGCTGAGACGCCGCAGCTCCCGTGAGGAAGCCCTGTAGTGGCGCTGCACACGATAGTAGATGACGCTCAACGGTGGCAGCAGCAGCAGCAGCCAGGGCAGGCCAGAGCCCAGCACAGCCAGGAGGCCCAGTAGGCCTGCTGCGTTGGCCAGGAGGATGTTGAGGATGAAGGGCAGGCTGTCATCCGCACAGGCCACATCGGAGGAGAAGCGGTTTAGGACCCGGCCCATGGGCGTGGAGTCAAAGAAAGTCACTGGTGCCTGGAAGAAGGGGTGTGGTTGGGTGAGGTCAAGGCCTGGCAGAAAAGGGGCTGGGGCAGCCCTGGGGAAAGGGGCTGGGGGCAGCCCTGGGGAAAGGTAGAGAATAGGAAAGGAGTAAAGTGTCCTCAGAGTTTGGGGGCAGAGAGGAGGGGCTGGCAGAGCTTAGAGGAGGAATATTCCAGGGTGGGAAAGAGAGAAACTCTCAGGTCAGTGGTGACTCAGAGGCCATGCTGGCCACTCCTCTGCCTCTGCTGGACATGCCTACTCCCCTTTCAAGGGCAGGGAGCAAATCTCTCTCTGGAAGATGGGGAAGAAGGCCAGTGAATGAGATGTAGTTAGACGTCAGGAGGAACACCCTGACTACCTGTGGCTGGACGGAGTGGGGAGGGCGGCAGTCAAAGTCAGTATTATCTCACGGTTAAGCGCTCAGGCTCTGCAGTCAGCCTGCTCCTCGGATCCCAGCCCTACCACTTACTACATGCGAGACCCCACGCAAGAGGCTTAATCTCTTCAAGGCCCCTGTTCGTCACCTCAGGAACAGAGGTAATAATGGAAGTGCACCTCACAGGGCTGTTAGTAGGACT